GATATCTTGTTTTTATTTACTTTTTAATAATCTTGATAAGGGAATCTGTTATTTCTTCCTATCATTTTGAGAACGAAGGTAACTGTTCTAAACTTTTTATTAAACATCATAACACCTTGTTAAAATGAACAACTTTGGCGTATAAATGTTGTGAATGTTGGTGTTTCATTCGTTACAAATATGGCAGACTTGATGAAGCATCAAATTTTAACTTTTTCAAACAGTAAAGAGCAAGAGTGTGGTCTGGCAATCTGTTTGACTACTACAATTTTTCTTGTTCAGGGCCTCCAGGCATTATTTTCATATACTTTGACATTAAGGGATGTGCTGATTTTTTTGTGCCAATCTGTTAAATATAAATTATTGTCACTATCTTTTGATGGTTAGCACCGTACCAAACTCTTGATCACGCTATAAAGGGCAATAGCCAACAAACTAACCATTGTAGATGAGGGAGATAGAACATGGCTTTACCGTGGTTTTTAAAAATGCCAATAAACTATTTCTACTCTCATTTTCTTCCCCTACTTGTAATCTTGCTTACTAGAAGATTTACAAATTAATCAACATAAACAGTACCTAATTTCGTGGTTAAATAACTAATGGTAACCAAACAGAACGGGAAATAAAATTGACAAATCCACTAATCACTCTTGTCTCTTTAGTCTGCATCACATGTCAAGTCCCTTTTATTATTGCTTCCTTGCAAGAAAAACAACCAACAATAAGAGCACAAACATTCGTAAAGATTTCAAATATGGCAAAATTTGTAATCTGATTATTTTGAGAGTATGGACGGTGAAGTGACATCTGTTGTATCATGTAAGATATTAGCTTGATCAAGTGTTGATGAAATGTGATAGAAATTAAACCTCCATGAGCAAGAAATAAGTAGGAAGTTGTCGTTCTAAAATGTGTTGCTCCATGGTCTCCAGCTTATCCCCATCTTTTTCCTTTTTCTTTTTCGAATCAATATTGACAAAAAAATTAAATTTAGGTTATCATACTCTTCCAATTGATGTGAAACCAAAATATATGACTTGCCAACTGAATATGTACCTTTAAAGAAAATGTTGAAAGTACGGTGAAGATAAAGATAACAATTCCTGTGGACCTTTTGTTTTTGTCGTTCATGAATATGATTCTTGAAGGCACAGAAAATTTTTCTTGTACCCAGGGCTAAAGGCAAGTTTTCCTTTCCACGAGGCACCAGGCTTAGGACTTAGGCAAGAAGCTGTAAAGTTATGAAATTTTCTTTTTCTTCTAAGTCGAAAAGTATAGAATGGCAATACAATAGCGGAGAAAATGGATATTAATATCTACATAAATGTTTAATGAACATTATTCATCTTGTACTTTTTTTTAGTAACTTCACATACGTAATATCATGCTAATGGCAAAAGCAGATTTATTTTTCTAGTCTAATTCTTGCTCCAAATTTGATGTATTTAACTTAATGAATTTAAGAGGCAGATTTGTGTTTCTAGTATAGGTTTATAAATTTCTTAGGGATTCCCGTAAAAAGATTCCAATTCTCAGAGGCGCAAATTACGTTGTTAGTACTAAATAAATACTACAATAAGTTGTTTCACTCTTTTTATTTTTGTGTGGGGGATGGTTTAAGGCCATTATAAGTCAGCATACATAGCTAAGAACTCCAAGTCTAATATGATAGACATTTTCCTTTTCTTCGGAAGCAGTTTTTTTTCTTTGATTCTTTTGCTGAAATGTGTATGCAACAATGGATGATCAAAGGGTTAATTTCTTTCTTCTTTTTTTTTTGGGTCCAATGAAAAACCTTAAACCTTATAAAGGGAAAGGTTTAAAAAAGAGAATTTGAGAGTCGAACTAGAGAACTCATGATCACCTGACTAATATCTTTACCACTTAAACTAGCCAGTCTTAAACTTAAAAATGGGTTAGTTTCGGTTCAAGAATATGAACCTGTTAATGCACCAAAAAAGAATATGAACCTGTTATTCTCTTTGTGTTTTGACAATTTCTATGCGTAGTTTTGGTTCACCCTCAATGCATTACAGAATAAAAAGATAAAAAAAATCAAGAGTCATAAAACTTTGATGCTTCAAAACGGCAGATGCAAAGAGCTTACAAGTTACATCACGCATCTTTTATTTTAGGGAGTCTGGATAGATGCTTTCGCATCATTCAACAATCTTGAAGGGCAGATAAAAAGTATGCAATACATTAAAGAAAGAGTCAAAAAAGTTAAGCCACTAAACCCTAAAGGACCAAGGGACAATCTGGCCAGTGTAAGCGTGTGAAGAAAAGGAATATATAGATAGATGAGATAAAATGAATAAGGATATTGGAATCTAAAATCGTGTAGGGCCCTAAATTCTAGAGTGATGGCTAGAATTAATTGGTCAATGGGATGCGTGTGGACTTCTTGGTGGATCCCATGTTGGTGAGATAGTCTACCTTCAAAGTATGATACTTTCTCCGTCCATAAAATTTATTATTTTTGAAAAAACGTGCAATTTATGCATAGTGATATTAATAGAAAAGATGATTTTTACTTTTCTCTTATATTTTCATCTTTTATTTGATGAATTGATAATTATGGAGAATAAGTGGCGAACCACATGAAGGGTAAAGATAAAGTTTTATTGAAAAATGTGAATTAACTTTTCTAAAATGACAATTAATTTAAAATAAGAAAAAGTGGCAAACATGACAAATTTTATGAGAAAGAGGGAGTAACTAATTCATAACTTTGTGGTGGTGTACATAGGGGAATTTTTGCAATTGCATGCACCCTAATAAAATCACTTTGGGAAAAATGCCTATTCGATTCTCGAATTTTGCATTTTTTAAAAAAAATAATTTTTACCCTTCAACTATTAAATATATCATTTTACCTTTTGAGTGTTCAAAATTGTAGTTAATATTCCACCGACCTCTAAATGATGTAGCTTTCGTGCCTTCTTTATTGGCTTTGACATGTCAAATGAACTGAGGACGTTAAGTGTCCGCTTTGAAAAAGTTCGACGGCCGAAACAGTTATACTAAACGATTGGAAGGTTAAAAATGTACACATGAAAATTTGAGGGCCAAATCAGTTTTTTGCCCAATTATGTTTCATAAATTGGTAATCTCAAAAAGGCAATGGAAAATGCATTGCCTTGCCAATAAATTCGTCGAACAAAGTCATTTGGTAGTTTGACGGTCTGTTGGGGTTTTTCTTCACAATCAAGAATTACATGAAAATGATCTTGATACTTGAAATAATCTCATTCACTTTATATTTTTAGGTCATATGATAAAGTTTCTTCATTAGTTTTTTTTTGTAGAGAAATCAAACTCATGACACAATTATCACTTGGGTTTTGCTTAACCTTTTTACCGTTTGCAATAGCCATATGAAATGAGGGTAGTTTTGAAACATTTTAGCTTTCAAGGAGCTTATCAAGAACTTGCACAGAATCTTTTGCAACAAAAATAGTGGGCTAAAGAGAGTAAATTTTTGTGATCAATATGCTATAGTAAGCAAGTATTTGAATATAATAAATGAGGTTTTAGTACTAAAAAAATTGTTCTTTTGTGACTAAAGGGTACTTTAATTATGGATTTTTTTAATGGTTGCCCTATACATACCTACGTTCCATCCAACCTATATATACAAAAACACACACACTAACAATTACTATTTTTTCTTGCATTTATACATTTTTCCTAATTAATCCCCTTACATTTATACACTTTCCTTAATTAATCTTATATTTCTAAAAATATAACGCCTAAAATATATCTTAACGAGTACCCTATAAGCACCTGTTATTTCTAAAAATCTAACAATTACTAATTTTTCTTGCATTTACACATTTTTCCTAATTAATCCCCTTACATTTATACACTTTCTTTAATTAATTTTATATTTCTAAAAATCTAACGTGTGAAATATATCTTAACGAGTACCCTATAAGCACCCATTAGACAAACCATTTAATTATTTAATAAAATAAAAGATATTAAGGGTGGGTGCAATCATTGCTTGCATTATAAATTAATGATACTCAACTAATTCCAGATTATTTTCCTAAAAATGTCTTTTTAATACTCTTTTTGAAAAAAACCCTTTAGAAAAATAGATTATATGGTCCCACTTCCATGATCCATCATGAATAAATTTCAATCAACTAAAATAAAACAGCATTTCTAGCAACGCGAAAGTCTATTGAGAGATTGCTTTACAAGATGTTAGGGTTGGGGGATTAATCAGATAAGTGAGGAGAGAAAGAAATTAGAGTTGGGCTATTTTCTTATCTTATCTAGATGTACTTATTTGTATTTTTCAAAAGAGATTATTTCATATTGTATTTTGATTAATATCAAATCTCAAACTGAAGAAAAGTTTATCCACAAGTTAAGTAAAAATAGTAATGCGGCAAATTAGCCACTAATGCTGAAATGTTTTATTTAATAATACTGGAAAAGGCTATTTTGTCTGAAACATAGTTGGATATGCACTGAAGTGGACCATGCTGTCTTCTTACCTGCATTCAATCTATTTGAGCCTAATAGAGGTAATATCATTGATTTAGTCTAATTTTCTTGGACCACTTTACAGCCACTTATATATCTTAGAATAAGCTAATTGTTAGTGTAACATGATTGCTAAACTACATCATGGGAAGATGAGTGCTTGCAATTCAAATTGAAATGGACATGCTTCTCCTACTGGCCTCTCCATTATGAATCCAATACCACAGTGGGAACCAGTAGCCAACTATCAGAAATTGCTAAAGAGAGAGTTTTTCAAAAAAACAAAAAAAAAAAATGGGGAGAGGAAATGAAGAGGGGAACTTTTAGAAAGTCACCACTAAAGGTTGTTGTCCAAAATGGAGTGGGATTTGTGCCTTTAGCTTGAGGGTTGGGTGAAGGAAAGATGGTAAACATATTTTAAAAGAAAAATATTACACCTACCCCCTCCTCTTCTTTCTGTCCCCCAAAAAGGCCAATGAGGAAAGGAGTCAAGCAAGTGGATCTAAAAGCCAAAAAGATTTGCCACATACCATAAGTGCAGAACTGCACATCAATAGTTTTAACCTTCCCTTGATAAGGAAGACTGAATTTGGCTAACTTGCCAGGTATTCTGAAGATTTACTACACTCTCTACACCACAGGAATTGTTCTAAGATCTGCCAAAGTTACAACAAAAAGTAACTGCCTACAAAAGGCAAACTGCTATTATTAGCTTTAATCTGTATTGATGTCTAGTAAGTTTTTATACATGAGAAACACCTAACAAAGTGCACTCATTCTGTGCAATTTATGTCTGGCCTATCCATGACAATGGGAAATGACTGGAGAGAGTCAAGGGGGTTCAATTAGTCCTCTACAATGAAGGGACATAGAGCAGATCATGTCCTACCCTTCTTTCAGTTCCAGAAAAAAGCCGATGTCTAAGCATCCATTTATATCGCTATTCTCGAAAATAACACACTCCAAGAAGCAGAGTGGCCTCAATGTAAGGATCAAGCAGTTAGATGCAATTCTCTGATGCACCTGCAAGTCAACGCCATATACAGGAAGTATTAGCGTTCTCCAAATTGACTTGCAAAGGAGGATAGACAAAACTGTCTTTGAAAGGCCAGTAGGTTTGGGACCTATCGACGACCCCAGTGCCTATTGAAGTTGCCAGGTCTCATGTTTGGATTCCTATGGCCAAGATTCTGCTTGGGGATATCATGCAACTCCATTACTTGTACCGTTCGCTGCCTCTTGGCTGTCAGAGAATCCATAATCCACTGTTAGACTAAACAGAAACTCTTCAAACAACTAATAGAATCATTGAATCATATCCTTGGTGTATCCTTAACTTCAGGAACAAGCACTTCCAATGGATTTCTCATTTCTGAAAATATTTAAGGTTCAAAGAGGAATGAATGAAAGAACTAACCATTCTCAGCTTCTTGGTAGCGCTCCTGAAGCTTCCTTTTCGAGGCCTCTAGTTTTAATCGAACAGCCGCATCATCTGAAGACCTCAATTTCTAGTTTAAAGAAAATGTAATATTGTTAAAAAAAATCAGCAATCCAAACCTATCTAAAGTTAAATGTGATCAATTATGATACTCACATTTGGCTGAGAAGGCAACTCCCTCTTCTGACTCGTTCCCTTATCAGATTTCTGCTGAGGTTTCATCTGGTATTGATCAACGCTTGGTTTTGCAGGTCTGCCTGGCCCAGATTCACCAAATGAGGGCTTATTTGGTTTTGCCACAGCTGCTTGTTTCTTCATCACCGCTTCCTGTTTCTTTGTTACAGCATCTTGTTTCTTCATCTGTTCACCTTTCCGGTCTTTCGGAGGGCTAATCAAGTTGCCACGAATTTGCTGTTTCTGCCTTGGAACAGTGTGGTTCTCCAGCGACGGCTTTCTGCCATTGTCACGGTTCTTGTTGAATTCCCCACTGTTTTGAGGATCTGAAACAATGTCCCCAATCAAAATGATACATCACCATTAGTGGGGAATTCAAATAAAGAACCGAATAGCAAAACCAAACTAGAAATTCAGAATGGCACAAAGTCAACTCACTTCCATCATCATCCATGCCGTCAAAGAACTTCAGAGATAGCAATCCCGGAAAACACAATTTTACAAAATCCAGTCAGCACATAAGCAAAAAAGGAAAACAAACTACTCATATTATGGATGAATTTAGATAAACCCACCTGTGAGAGCTCCATTGAAATATTCTGAGATGCAAAGAGAAATCCTTCATCTAGTGGAGGAGAAGGAAGCCCCTCCTCTTCATTAACTAAATCAGACTTTTTCATAGACTCTGGAGTTCCTTCTGCCAAATCACAAGGCAAAACAAGCTCAGATTTTAGTGAGAATTGAAGAATAAAATGGGAAACAAATTAAGCTGGAAAACATAAATCCAGACGTACCATTTGCAATAGCTGCTGTAGCATTCATCCACTCATCTACCATGGTCACCCAGCCACTGCGATTCACAATGAAAGAAACAGAAAATACATAACTTTTCTTTAACAGCATGGGATATGAATGTAAAGGAAATGAAGTCACATTCTTGAACAGAATGGCATGCAAAGACAACGAGGCCTGCCTAACTTTATGAGAAGTGGGAGGCATCTCTGCTGTTCATATGGTTCTGATCACACAAAATAAATCCAGAATAGAGCAAAAAGGAAAGGCAATGCACAAAGTTTGGACGCATTTATAAACGAACCCAGGAATCGACAAAAGTAATTAATACAATATCTAAGCATAATTTAGAGATCGACAAGTTAAGTCAAGCAGTTAATACGATGTGTGTCGAAATGTGTCAATAATAACACAATCTCGTTTTTACAGGAACGAATCTATACGTATAAAAGCACGAGAACAACATTTGCTAATTATTCTTTTCTATTTCTTGCAATGATTTGCACATCAAATGATATCATTCCAAAAAATGATCAATAGGCAGGAGTTTCATACTCGACAAGTGTCTTTGCAAGCTGCCTAATCTGCTTTGATCCATGTCTCCGCAGAGCATTAACAGACTTTCCAATCTCTGTTGACTGAAGTAAAAATATCTCAATTAAGTATATCATATGTCAGCATAAGTGCTAGAAGATCAAAGAAGTCAGAACTAGTTCTGAGACATATGGCAAATAAAATCTAGTAAGGAGACAAGGGTGCTCAAACCTTTAAAACCTCTACAGACAAAGCCATGATTTGCAGCCTTCTTAGAGAATCAAATATTACTGAATCAGGCTGTGGCAAAAGAGCACCAACAGTCAAAACCAGCTCAATGAAATGATAAAGAAACTAACAACCAATCAAAATAACTAATCACATGGAGATCATTCGAGCTACATGAAGAAAAACATATATAGTCAAATCACACAAACCTAATCTGCACCTGCACTAGGAGAAGCAAATTTTCACTTGGAACAAACAGGAAGCAGTAACATAAAGTGTTCCTGATCCTTTTGATGAAATGTAATATTCGTAGATTAACCAAATTAACCAAACATGCTTACTAAATATTTTAGCCACATTCCACCTCAAGAACACAAAAAAGAAAAAAAAAATTCTTTACACCAAATCTCAGCCGAAAAAAAAAAAACAGTTCAAAATATATACGGAATTCATCGACACAAATACCCATCAAACTAAAAAGAACTGAAGAATAGCACACAAAAATGTAAACTGATGCAAGAGAAAAAGTCAATGAAAAGGATAAGGTGGATTTAAACCTCATCTTCACTGTTTTCAAGAATCTCTTTGATCCTTTTGACCTCTCCAAAATTCTGAGACTCTTCCTCAATTTCATCACTCAATGCCTCAGCATCCCCATAGCTGTAAGTGCTAACTTGATGATTCAGATTCCTTTCCAGCTCTTCGGCATCACCATCACCATGATTATCAATCTCATTACAATTCACCTTGCTTTCTTTAGTCCTAACCTCCTCATCCTCAGTCCTCCTGCCAAATTCACTGCTACACTTGTCTTCCTCCTCTTCCTCCTCTTCTTCTTCCCCATCACAGCCATCATTTGGTACCGCTAATTCTAGCTTGTCACAGCCAAAACACTTGGTTACTTTGCATGTGAAAAGCAATTCAGCGATTCGATCTCTTCTCAACTTGAACTCTTTAGGAGAATCAATAGAAGCAATCGTAATTGCTCTCTCAATTATACAAAAGATATCAGAATTTGCAGTCAAAAAATAGTCCCTCCATTTATCAAGAGGCCCTGAAGTCTTGGCCATGACTGAAGAATCAAGGCCTCAAAATCAAATTCCGATCACAACCCAGATATCAAAATCGAGTCTTTTTTGAGCTCCAGGTATCAAAATCCAATCTTTATCAGATTTTGATGAAGCCCAGAAATCAAAAGACTCAAATTCCAACACAATTCTTATCAGAAAAAGGACTAAAACTTCTGATTATCCTTCAGTGTTGACACAGAAGTTGAATAGACTGTTGATATCTGATGAAACAGATTATCAGTTACTTTTTCAGATGATCAGATATCAAGGAACAAAATGAATTTTCAATTATTAATTCTAGAAAAAACAAAATCCAAGTAAATCTGTATTAGCCACCTATTCTGGGAATATATATATATATATATATATATATATATATATATCTGAAAAATAGAAAGAAAATCTAAATCCTTAAAAAGGGCTTTGATCAGGTGTAGATGAAAATGGAATGAAGATTTTATTCAGAAATAATGAATGGAGAAATCCAGAAAAAGTTTATGTCCTAATTGACGGAAAGAAATTCAGAGAAGAATATATGTTAAAAAGTTGGAGAGATTCTCTCCCTCTCTGTGTGTCTCTCTCTCTCTTTGGATTTTATGTTTCCTTTTTAATTTGCTTGATTTTAATTTTCATCTCCTTTAGTTTCTCTCTCCTGAATATAATACAGGAGATGCTGTTGAGAGGAAGGACGGATAGAGAAAAATGTTGTTGGCTTTTCTTTATTTTATTTGTCTTTCAGCGTTGTGTAATTTATTTTTTATTGTGGAAATAAAAGGGAAGGGTGAAAACAAAGGGCAGGTGATCAGCACAAAGGGCGGGTTCAAAGAAGGTTCAAAGCGGTTTTACTTTTACATATAATATTTGCTTTCCTTTGGTCTACCACTACTTTATTACTGTAGTAACTAGCTAGTGGTCGTACTATTCAACAAGGGGAAGAGGTGTGTTTTTTTTTTTTTTTTTTTTAATCTCATTATAACAAGATAAGAGACAAATAAGAAAAAGAAAGAGATGGTTTTGGTGGCTTTATAGTTTTGGTCATCCATGGTTTGGAAATGTCAACATTGTTGGGCCATCATTCCAATTCTTGGAAATTGACTTCATCATTTTCTCTCTTTTGCCCATTCGGAGCACATTGGACATGATAAGAGCTGAGCTAGTACATTTGAATTACTGTTTTGTTTTCTCGAGGTTTTGTAGAAATACATATGACATAAAATGATGATTGAAAAATATATTTATATAAAATATAAAATTTTTTTATCAGAAAATTATAATCCAAAAGAGTCATAAATGAGCGATTGATTTAATTAGGGTTGTATCTTGTGATTTTGGAAATGTATGGAGTTGGAAATTCTGTGTTTGATAAATAGGTTAACGATATTTAATGTAAGTTATTTTCGTTAGACGATCGCTCATTTTGATGATCGTAGAATAATTAAGTTTTCCTTTTTGCGCTAAAAATCTAGTTGATTGTGATCAAGTGAACAATTAAACGCTTGTTGTTCAAAAGAAGAATTGCGTGAGAAAGGAAGAAAGTATAACTAAAGCAACTTAATAACGCTACTGTGATTAACCAAACAATGTAGCCATGTCAATTTGTTGTATTATCGTATAATAACATCAAAATTAGGTTTCGTGGTGACTCAATTTTGGCTGCGAGTACATGCAAGTGATTGATGGACAAATTTGTATAATTCGAATTATAGAAAAATGAAAGATCAATCCATAGTCCTCTAAGAAAAGGAAAAAATATACTTTGAAAAAGGAAGAGAAGTAGTAATTTTCAATTCAAATAGCTTTTTGCCTTTTTTATTTGCATAAATAAGAAATAGCCCTCACATATATATATATATATATATATATATTTTTGCCCTTAAAATGTATAAAAGCCCATTTAATTCACAAATTATAAAAACATTTTCTTCTTATTTCCTTTTTTTCTTAATAAAGTACAAGCAAACTGACCTTAATATTTTCTACTAATTTCATTAGCATTGCTTAAGATTTTTAAATACATAAAGTTGGTTTGAACTTATTATATATATATATCAAAAAGGTCATTTTAACTCCTTTTTTTTGTTTGGTTTATTTCTAAAGAAAGGTTGTTTGGATTTTGGACTTTTTTGAGGATTGGGTTTGTTGGAATGATACTACAGTGACGCGCGTTTCACGTGTTGATGTGCGACTCTGCGTTTGTTTTTGTACGCTTGTGACAGCGTGTGATTTTCTGAACCAGACGCTTTTCTCTTCTATTGGCCGCCGAACTCGTGTCCGTTCTTCAGCGATTTCTGAGTTTAATAGTAAAATACTCGGCGACTCGACTTCTGATTTACTGGTCACGCCTTGCTAAACTGACGTGACTGTGATGCAAAAAGTGCAATAAAACCGCTAGCCATCTATGTGGGACCCAATCACCTTGTAATGTGGTGCCCTGGATAGAGAGCCCCCATAACTCTTCTCCTCGGTTTAATCTCCTTTTTGTTTTTCTTTGTACATTTTTAGGGGGGAAAATTCATAATTTTAGAATTTTGGGTGGGCCAAGTAATAATATAATAGATGTCAAATGTGGGAAGAACTTAATTAAGATGATATGGGCACGTACATAAATTTGTTAAGAAGTTAATATGAGCATTAATGATGCAATTAATTTGGCAAATTTCTGGTATGTATCATTATTGGAGTGAGATTTGCTATAGATATAAAAGCCTGTGGTGTGAAAACTTTGCTTTTGAGTTTTGCTCGTTAAGGCATGTCGTAATCTCTATGGTTGGTATCATTTCAATCCAACTAATGCTTGGTTCCAAAAAGTAAAATTCCAGCTAGTGCTTAAATCTAATTAAATTGTGAAATATTTCTAGCCATATGGGTCTGTCTACGAGAATCTCTTGAGTACTAGTTAAAATATATTTTACGTGTCATATATTTAGAAATATAAGATTAATTAGAAAAAGTAAATAAATATAAGGGACAGTAGACAAGATTAAATACGAAAAGTATATAAATGCAAGAGATGAAAATAATTATTAATATGTGTATGTACATAATAAATTAGATAAATTTTAAATGCATTAGCAGGTGCCTCGCTAGAAAAACCACTTGTCACATGAGATTTTCAATTACCACTTGAGTTTTGAACGAATAGGTGGCGGACATATTTAAAATTTTGGGATAAGCGAAATAGATAATGGTAGGTTTGAAAAATTAATCATTGAGAAATTTTTGTAATTTTTAAATCCCCAGCCCATGACTTGCTTTCCAATTTTGCTCATTAATGTTTCAGGTATGTCATAACTCATAATCGCCATGTTTGGTATGATTCGATCCAACTAATGCTTAATTAACTTTTTTATTAGTATTAATTTTTTATATATTGACAGTGTATATACTATCGTCGTTGAAAGCATGACAATTAATTTAAATTTAATATTCAACCACGACAGTGCATACATTATAAGTATATATAAAATTATCTCTATTAATTAATCTATAACATATTTGTGATTATACACAACAACAGTGCTCGAGCCTGTTTCGTTCGGGTCGCAATGCCTTTATTAAAAATATACTTTTAAAGGATAAAAGCACTTTTAAGACACATTTGCAACCATTCGGTGTTTCTTTTTTTTAAGTAATAAGTTTTCAAGATTTTGCGTAATATAACACATACTCCCTCCGTCTCACTTTGATAGTCCTGTTTTCCTTTTTCGTCTGTCCCAAATCGTAGTCCACTTTCCAATTGAAAAATGTAGTTGTATTTTAATTTTACTAAAATACCCTTATTCAATGTAAGTTATTGTTACTATAAACCTATTCCATTTAATGAGAGTTGATTCTTTTTTTACCATCAATTCAAGTTCCCATAAAGTTGTACTCTAATTAATGTGAGGGTATTTTAGGAAAATAGCTACCTAAATTGATTGTTCCAACAAAGTTAACTACTTTTTATTAAACTGTGTGAAAAAAGAATCAGGACTATCAAAGTGGGACGGAGGGAGTAACTTTTTTCTTTTCCTTTTTGGTGAAAAACAAGATTATTAGATTTTTATCAGTTACGTGCAAGTTGCGATGCTTTTACTAAAAATATATTTTTAAGAGGAAAAAAAAAGGGATAAAAGCGCTTTTACAATATATTTTTGCTTTTAAAGTGCTTTTACAACCATTCGGTGCTTCTTTTTTTAGTAATATAGTTTCCAGTTTTTTGAGTAATATTTCCTTTTTAGTGAAAAACAAGATTATTAGACATTTATCAGTTAGGTATGTTGAGTATCCGTCAACAAGATGACGTTTGATTTAAATCTTATCTAATTTTGACAAGCCACTAAAAATAAAAAGAATGACCACATAACATTAGTGGTTTATCCTAAAAACTGTTCCAATACTGCAGCTCCTAAAATAAATTTAATTTTGCAAATTTTCAACTGCAATAACGTTTTTTTTTTATAAAGATTTTTATTCTTGAAAAAAAAAATCTGAATTTACTTATCTTTGATTGTATAATACATTATTGAGAGTGTGTTGTCGTGCCCCAAATTTCAACAAAAATAAAAATGGGGCGCAAGAATTGCAAATTATGCAAAAGCATTTTGCTTAATTTTATTTGTTCTCATTTTGAAAAACTGAAAGATTGTGACTGACACACATCGAGAAAACAAGTAAATCATATTTGTAAAATTTACTCCGTTTTCTTTCCACAAAAAAAAAATAAAGAGAAAACTTTTTACTTCTTTTATTCTTCAAGTAAAAGTGGTGTTTCTTTACTTAAAATGAAGGTGCAGTCACATCAAACTATCAGAGAATAATTCCCAGACATAAAAATATTTCTTCTTGCCATCTTTGTAAGATTTTGTACAACCACCATTTATGTGGATAAGTAATAATGCCAACATCTTTGTCTCATCTTAATAGATTATTTGACTTTTGTCTTTGAAAAATTGAAACATGTGAGGAAAGCTCAATTGCAGCCAAAAAGTCTTATTGTAGACAATTGGTTTTATTTAAATCAGAGTAATTGCATG